CTGTTTTGGGGTTTAACCCTCTCTGCTTGCAGTCCCCAACTCCCTTCCCTCTCCCTTAGATCTCAAGAATATATGCCTTTAAAATATTTGTATACAAAATAAGAATGTGGTGATTTATCTGTACAGTTTATTAATTGTGTGAGATTATGATCTCTGTCTGTGTCTCCATCAAGCTGGAAACTCCATTTTGAATGTGCAGCCCTGTGCCTCCTCTGTCCTTTTACTTATTTGTTGGACCGAAACTCCAACAAATAGTGCTACAGGGCTGACAACTGAAAGTTGTTAAAATAGTGTGGGCCGCACTTCAAATACAAACATCCTAGAACAGGGGTTCCCAAACTCGTATGCCTACTCCCGGGGGTATGCAAGACATCTCTGGGGGTACATGAGAGAAATTGTGTAATGGTGGATTTTATTTATTGCATTTTCATAATAGGCTACTCAAACAAAGCTTTAAAACTCTGGAAATTTCTTATATAAAATACAGTAGTTAATTCACTTCAAGACATACCAATGAGAAGACAGATACAGAGCCCTCACCTCCAATCACCATACAGCATGGGGTTAGTTGTCTAGCAACTGTCCCATCTAACTGAGCTCAGAACTTAAGAGTTTTTTCAATTGTATACATCACACTAAAACTATATCTGTACATAACAATGAAATATGGACAGATGGCTAAAGAGGTATTGTTAAGAAGGTATTGTTAAGAAGAACACACAATGTATCAGGGGTATGTAGGCAACTGGTAGATCTGGAAGTGGGTACACAATAAGACAAGCTTGGGAACCTTGTCCTAGACAATAGGCTGGCTTCCACCCAGGAGAACTGGTTTGTCAAAGGAGAGGTCACTTAGCAAGGAAGTCACCTAGAAGGTGTCTGATCACCTGAGGAGGCTGATCTGGGAGTCACTTGACCAGTACCGGGTTTACTATGATGCCAGTGGTGCCAGGCCCACACTCAGAAGGGGCCCCGGTGTCCAGACTTGCTGCTCCAGCCTCCAGCGGCCAGCCCAATCCCCCTGGCCGGCTGAGCCAGCCAGGAAATCTGCCCCTGCCCTGCCTCTTCCCACCCCTGCTCCACCCCAGCCCTGCCCCCACTCCACCCTTCCTCACCGGGTGGCAGGAAGTGGAGTGACCCGGCCCCAGCCTGCTCTGCTCTGCTGACTCCCAGACATGCCACCAGTGAGTGCTGGGGGGCGGTTCCACCCTGCACCCCAAGTCCCAAGGCTGGGAGCCAGGGGAGCATAAGGATGTGGCACTGGGCAGGGGGGTG